ATAATGGGCTAGAAATATGAATACAGCAACTCTAAGTAGATCTGCGCAAAATTAGGGACGACAAACTACAGACAATTCTGCTTGCTCGTTTAATTGCAAAGGCTGCAGTTCCCGCTGACCCTTTTGAGTTCAGGTTACCTGTTGATCCTTCCACACCAACGCCTCACTTGGCTCAGTCTAATGTTACTTACCCTTACCACTACACACATACTCCTCCCATATCAGCAGCACAGCGCAGAGGGAAAAAGTCACTGGTGTGGACTTCGTCATTCGGAATCTCCTAGCCTCTGACGTCACCCATCGTGCACCTGAAAGCCAAGCCGTCCTGTACCTGACTAGTAACTATCTAACAGGACTAATGGAGTACTTCATCCACCTTGGTAATGGATGAAGGCCCTTCCGACCGTGGTCAGGTACCGGAGGTGCTTGCCGATGATATTTTCGTCTGAATCTCGGCCGATGACGGGTTCATTGAGCTACCGCGAACACGAATGATGTATGGTATGGACAGTCTCAAAAATGATATTTAGTGGGGATGCTATACTCGGTTAGCGTATGGGTGGTTAGCAAGCCGATTGCGGTTGGAATCTGCGCCTTATCGTTATGCTGATCGCTCTGCCCAACAACGGTTCTCGAAAATGTAGTGGGTGGATTGGATCGACAGGGATGGAGGTACCTGGCAACCTGGCAAGCAGACAGCGGCTGGCTTTTCTGCGAACCTAAATCACTTGCACACCATCACCTTGCCATTGCTGGTATTGATTTCGTCGCGCCGCTGTGTTCAAACTCCCTTTTGCTTAATTACACAAAAAAAAGACTACGCGATTAATAGTCATCTGCTCATTGAGTTGCTCCTATCGAACGCTTCCCTTCGACTGGGACCAGGATTTTGATTACTTCGCCGAGCTAACAGCTGACTATAAGCCTTTGAAACTTCTGGGTCAATGATCACCATGCCGAACAGAACAGGAAAATACAGGATAAGGTTCCACGGGGTTTCTGGGCGAGCCCCACGCTGCCCACGGAGGTTTAATGAGGTACAGACATTAACCTCCGCAGTGCTGCCAATGCAACAGTCTTGACCATCATCGGCAATCGCATTCAAAGTGGAGCATCATTAAGATTTCACTATTGAATCCCTATCCCACGGTAGGAGAAAGGGACAGAGGTCAATTCATACCCGCCCACCTCAAGCACTATCGATTCTTGTCTGAAATTTGGTCATGGCATACTACGATGTGAGAGACAAATAATCACCAACACTTTTCAGCACCATAATATGCACCAACGAACGGATACCGTTTGCATCATCAAAACTGCATGAATGAGTATGGTTCTATATGCGACGTAAACCCATATGGTCAGAGCAGGCTGGCCTCAACTTTGCCTGCTATCTTCTTGATAGCTTGCGGGCTTGGATTAAGCTCATCGGATGAATGGCGTTCTACCATCCCATCTGAAACGACGGAGTGGTGTCATTGGATCTTGATGTCGATCCTCATTCATGCGAGCTCCTAAGGTGCCCGATTCGATGGATATGGAAGTCAGCTTCATTGCCAACTTCCCCTGAATCAAAGCCCAGCACGAAATCTCTTCCAGTGTTGTCTATTTAATGCAGTGTCCTCCCAGTTGCTGTCCTTTCTCTTCCCAAGCACTTCGCTCACTGTCAGTCGTTCTCTAAATCTCCAAACCCTTATTCGCTCCTTTACAGCAACTACAATACACTCACTATCTTTCTTTATCCTATTCCTCACATCAACAATACATCACAATGAAGTTCACTGGAATTGCTGCTCTTGCCCTCGCTGGCAGTGTCTCTGCTGCCGCTATCCCGGTTGTGGATACTACCGTCCAGTCCACTCTTAGCCAGCTGACCGGCGTTCTCGGAAAAGTCGACAATGTTGTCGGTGGCCTTGTTGGCTGCGCTACCACCGACCTCACTGATCTGAAAGACGGTATGCTATCTACGGCCGTGAAAGTTTGCTAGGGAGACCCACTAAGATTAGATATGTAGAACTTTCCACCATCGAAGGCAAGCTGACCCAGCTGCTCCCTTCCAACAAGCGTGACCTTACCGGCACTGTCGGTGGCGTTGCTACGCCTGTGGTCGGAATCGCTGGTGATGCCGCTGGCACCGTTAAGGGTGTTGCTAGCGGTGCTGTTAACACTGTTGGAAACGTTGTTGGTGGAGCCGTCAACACTGTCGAAGGTGTTGCTTCTCCTGTTGTCAAGACCGTTGGTGGTGTTGCTTCTCCGGTTGTCAAGACAGTTGGTGGTGCTGTCGACTCTGTCGCCTCCCCTGTTGTCAACGCGGCTGGCGGAGCCGTCGGCACTGTCAAGGGAGCAGCCAGCGGTGTTGTCTCTGGTATGTACAATAACCCAGATCCATGTCCAATAGCTAAAATTATACCAGCTGTCAATCTGAAGCGCGACATCACTGACCTTTCTGGTCTTTCTGAGACCCTTGTCGCCAAGATCCAGAGCGGTAAGTGAAATCCTGAGTATGAGTGGTAAAGTAAGCTTACTGACTCTTCCAAGGTGACCTGACCGCCGGCGCTCTTGAGAAGGTCCTGGACCTCCTCAGCCAGAACGGTAAGTTGATCTAAGAAAATCTCGAAGGAAACATCGCTGACAATGGCCTAGGAGGTCTTGCCAACCTTCAGTCCGTCCTTTCCCTTGTGTAGAGGATGACCAGTTCAAACAATTTCTGCCTCCTCCCACGACATACACTTCTATATTCAGTGATGTGTCATGGAAATCTTCGACCAGGGAAACCTTAACGAAGTCATGACTTTGTGGGAGAGCGGTTCTGTTGTACATTCGAGCGTATCTTCTCTGTTGGCCGAGGAGAGCAGCCTTGGGAGACTTCCGCCTGCCGTATATATACTTTGATACCAGAATAATTGTAATGTCTTGAAGCCACACTCATTCTGCTGCCTTGTAGTCGATGAAGGAAAGTAAACAGATGATTATAAATAGCCTGAATAAAATTGCTCGATGATTAACCCACTGTTTCTAATCCTTTCAAATTATATTGGCAATGGCGTAACCTGACTACACAGAACAAATGTTCAGTACTCAACTAGAAAACGGTGGCTGAAATGCTTTGCAATACTGCTTGCGAGAAATAATAGGCTGGCAGACGTCGCCAGGCCATGCATATTATCAGTAACACGCATTGTAGCCTGAGGCCGCAATGCTTACTCATGCCTTATCGCACATCCCACTCTTTCCCCGCCTCAATATCAATCTTTCTCCCCAGCGTTGCGCTCTTTATTACACGAATCCGAGTTGCTGTTGCATTGAACTCACTTAAACCTCCTACTCTGTCAGAAAGACATACGCATATCACCATGGCCTCCAACGGAACCCCCTCCGAATTCCCCTACACCCTGTAAGAAGAGCCAAACTCCCCTTGGGCATATCACCTCAACACCACTAACCAACAACGAATCCCAACAGAACAATCTCTCTCCCTCTCCCTACCAACCGCCTGGCGTCCGCCGCCCTGCGCACCCTCGAGGTTGACACCGAGCTCTCCCCCTTCGTGAAGCGCAGTTTCGCCCTGACAACGCCGACCAAAGAGCAAACCGCCGACGAAGAGGCCAAAACTGTGCTGGAAACGACCTACTGCGCGACGACGAATCGCATGCTGCGTGTCTCTGTGAATGGCTTTATGGAAAACCTGGCAGTGGTGCTTGGAGTGATGGAAGAATTGGACGTGGATGTTCTAGATGCGGATGATGAGAAATGAATGATGGGTCTGTCTTAGTGCAGATGGAGACTGGAAAAGCAAATGCGAGGTTTACTGTGCTATGTCATGCTACACGCTACCAGGGGCATTTCATGAGGCTTAGATGTGCCCGATTATTGGGTCGATCAAGACTATATCGGTATTTTGCCGCTGGCCATGATCGTTCGGACGGAACACGGATACCGGATGTTCCTCGCGGTGCAGACAAGCCGCGTCCGGGGGGTTGTGGATGGGAGATGTGCGTACCGTGGATGGGGCAAACCACCAACGTACCTGTGTGCGTGGGCTTGTTCGGCGATGGGGCTTGAATTGTGATTCGAGTCAGGAGTGTGTATAGCGGGTTGGATGACATGTGGATAGCGTGGAATGTGGTCTGCCGAATTGTACGATGTGAGGGTCTAGAATGAATATATCACTAATGCTTGTGTCTTCTCATAATGAAGTCTGGCAAGGGTAACGGATAGATACGAAGATTATACGGAGCCCCAGTCCGAAAAGAGCGAATGCCACTAAGCTCCAATAGCCGTGCATGATGACCATGCCTTAATTTAAAACCCCAGAACCTACAATATATTGTATCCACCTCGAGTCTCAAGTATTTGGAATTCCTAAATGAACCACCAGTGCACTGATCAGAACACCCAATATCCCCCGATCACTAATCAATCCCATTGTGCATAATAACCCTGCATCCTCAACCAACCACAATCGCCATATATGCAACCAAACCCAAAGCAGCAAAAGCGCCGGTGGCGCCGTAACGGGAATTTACACGTGCAACAAACCCCAAGCCACTTTTGGACCCGAAACCGTATCGATCGACCCGCAATCTTTCAGGCCATTTTCTGCTAATGATGACATCGATACTGGTTCGGGTTCCGGAATCTCTTGTTCCCGATCCATCTGGTTCCATTTCCCCTCCTCTTTGGGATTTGCGCGCCTGCGACGATTATTGACTGCTGGACCCCCCTCTTCTCTTCTCTTCTCTTCTTAGTCGCTGATGCGTTTGTCATCGATCATCCCATTCACTGATTTATCATCCTCAAGGTCGAGACTCACCTCATCAACTACATATCTACTTGCGCATTCCCTGGTACCAGTCCGATTCATCAGAACTACTACTCCTACTGGTCCATATCACCTTGCGACATCATTGCGATCAAGCCATCGGAACATTTTTCCTCTCCAGCGCATTCACTCTCCACCATCCCTTTCGTCACGTTCATCAAGACTACTACTATCAACCATGTCTTCTGCGACTACCTTTTACGACTTTGAGCCCGTCGACAGTACGTTATTCACCCTCCTTTACTTCCTTCAACCCCACCCCCTAGCTTCATACCCAACTAACCACCCCTCCCCTCTCAACAGAAAAGGGCTCCCCCTTCCCCCTCACCGACCTCAAAGGCAAAGTCGTCCTCGTCGTCAACACCGCTTCCAAGTGCGGCTTCACGCCTCAGTTCCAAGGCCTCGAGAAGCTCTACCAGGACATCAAGTCTAAGCACCCTGAAGACTTCACCATCATCGGATTCCCCTGCAACCAGTTCGGAAGCCAGGACCCCGGAACCGACGACGAGATCCAGTCGTTCTGCCAGATCAACTATGGAGTGACATTCCCCGTGCTGGGCAAGTTGGACGTGAATGGTGACAAGGCCGCGCCGGTGTGGACATGGATGAAGGAGCAGCAGCCCGGTCTGTTGGGGCTGAAGCGCATCAAGTGGAACTTCGAGAAGTTCCTGATCTCGGCGGATGGAAAGGTTGTGGGTCGCTGGGCTAGTTTGACCAAGCCCGAGTCGTTGGAGGAGCCGATTCTGAAGGAGATTGAGAAGGCGAAGAAGGAGGGCTCGTTGGCTTCGTTGAAGAAGGAGGAGGCGACGGCTTAGGGTGTGATATCATATTTATATTTATATTTGTGTTGAGAGGACGGGTGTTTGGTTGGGATGATACCATGCAGCAGTAGCTGCTGCTGCTGTCTTTTATACTATACTGAGTATTATATAATGGCTGTTACGCTACACTAGGCGACTGGTGGTTGCGAACCGAAACTCTTCAACTGCCGTGTTCTGGACAGTGTCGTTATTTCATATCAATTCATATGCTAATTTTATTCTCTGTGTTTCAAATCATGCTGCAGCGCTACCCTTGGGGATCAAATTGCGCAAAGAGAGATCGTAAACCACATCCTCCACCTTCTTGACCTGTACCATCACATTAGCATCCCGTAACTTACACCCACCTTCCACAGGTGGAAACTTACACTGTATTTAATCCCATCACTCCTCTTCCGCAGAATATCATTCTTCAAATTCAACAACTGGAATCCCGCAAACAGATCCTTGATGAAATTTCCAATCTGCACTGGCCGGGTGTAATCACCGAGAGTGACCGAGTTGACAGCCAGACGGGCCTGCCATATACTCTATTAGCAAAAGACATTCCAACAACAGGCCAATATCAGGGGGAGGGAATGACTGACCAACTCCTCAACCATAGAAATCAGCGCAAGCAGATACTCCTCAATAGTGAGATGGAAGGCATCCTGTTCTTTGAGATTCACGGGGACTAGAGATTATCCATTAGAATCAAGTTCACACTCTGACTTCCTCAAAGATAGGAGATAGACAATGAACGTACCACCCAGGAACTTCCCAACCTCTTCAATCGTCAGGAACGATGAGGAGCTGTTCGTCTTATACTCTTCCAGTCCGCCTAGCCAAGCGCAGAGCTCGATGGATGAGACCTATTGGTCGGCTAATTAGCTCTTATCTGCAACAATCAGACCCCAGTAATAGAAGAGGCACGCACAAGGTTCTGCAACTCGCGCGTCCACACCCCATTGTACTTGTAAAACGGGTGCTTGTCCGCCACGGTCTTCAACCGAGATACTTCATCCCTCTGGGCGATGATCTCCTTGGTTGCGTCATCGAGGACGGGTTTCACTGTTCGTATTAGCTATATCCCTTTTAATACCCCTCAGATGGATGGAGAAAAGAGTGTTACATACACTGATCAGTGGGTGTAGAATGAGCCCGCGACAGAATAGCCTGGGTAGATCTTCCTATCCAGAGTATTAGCCAAACGATTCCCTTGAATTGAGCATCCCCTCAATGCGATTGTCAAGAGAGAACGAAATGAATAGGTAAATACCCTTCCTAGCCAGCGTCTGCACAATATCATGAAGTTCCTGTACATCTCGTTAGCACAACGGCACTTTGCTTTCGGGTTTGTTTCTGCGCTTGGCGCGGGCACGGGTCAACTTACATCGCGGACCGCGGCCTCCTCGTCAATCTTGGCCTGCAGGTCTTCGAAGATATTGTGATCGATCATCTTGGATTATTTGTTTTATGGTCTGATGTGTTGTGGCGAGTGATACTAAATTGAATTGGGATTCGCGTTGCGGGAGAGATGTTGATGAATGTTACGTCAGGGAAACAAAGCTGAAAAGAGAAATTGTGGGGCAGGTTTTCTGCCGCTTTGGTTTGGATTTTATATCACGGCGGATGACTTCCAGGAGAGATGATCGGTGAATGTTTTACTGCAGAAGAGTATATTAGGTTCACTAACGGGTTTTGAGAATGTTGATGAATTTGATGTTTATATTTTACTATTAGTAGCGCCTTTCAGGTTCAACTTGACTGCAATGCCACTACGAAAACAAGATACACCCCACCATGCAGCTGCTCCTAATTACAAGCAAGAGTCACTAGTGATAGAGAACATCACATTCATCTTAATTCTAACCTAACGAGCCTCTAATAAAGCCCACACATTCATAAGTCATAGCAAAACTCAAACAAAACCAACCCCACAACAACCAGGACCATCAGTAGCGGTACCTCGTCGAGTAATCTACAGCAGAAATCATGCATCAGCCAAACCATCCAGCCAGCACAAAAAATAAATCAAGATAATGGATAGACTTACCCTTCGGACTAACGACCAGACCACGTCCCTTCTTCGCGCCCTTGTAGATGGTCTCAATGATATCGATCATCTCCTGCTTGTCTTCAAGCACCCAGTTCAACTTGTTGTTGTTACCCGTGCCAAAATCACACATCATGTGTTTATTCCGATAGAAGAACATGATGGTCATTGGGTCAAAGAGTTCGTACATCGTGTTGAACTCGGGTACCTCGTCGATGTCGCAAAGGTAGATGACAGCGAAGTCTGGTTGGGCAGTTAGTCACTGAGATTTTCTTTTCTTTTCTTTCTTTTTTTTTCTTCCTTTCGAAGATAGTGGTATGGGAAAGAGAAATGGATAAAGAATTTCTTGACGTACTCTTCACTCGTTCGGCGATCTTGAAAAGGACTTCGTCCTGACGCATGCCTACAATTCACTGCATTAGCACTGTCTTGTTCTGATAAAGAGAGATTCGTGATGTCCTACAGTCAACATCGTGATCGCGACCGAATCGGATGACCTATACAGCTTTGATTAGAATCATCTGCTATGCTCCAGAACCTTAACTTGGTGATATGTATACGCACCACAAGTCTGTCCTCCTCGGAGAGAATAGCCTGGTCGACGTGCCAGGCCGTACGCAGATGCGGGAGAACGACGGAACCCATGATAATGACTTATAGCCCTTTAACGCTATGTATAGCACTTCTAGTTGGTGTTATCGAGGTGAAATCGTTGGTGTTCTTGCAACTTGCAAGTGATGTAGTTGATAGAGATCACGTGGATGAGGGGGTAGCAGCGAAGAAGTTACTTTGCTTGCTCCTTCTCGAAGTTTCGGATGAGGCTTCTAACCAAATGCTCTATATGTTACAAGTCATTGGAATACTATATCAAAGTCTATAATTGAAGTATCTACTGCATCGCACTTTCTTCTCCAACCAGTCGGACAAGCCGACCAAATTGATGAAAAAAGGGTTGTTCGCGTCGATCGGGGATAGTGTAAGCCCGATGACACTGTGCAGCAAGACATGCGCAAGCACAGAGGTCTCGCCACGGGGTGCAAAAATAAGATTAATCAATGTTGTGTTCCTTAGAACACTTTCAGAGATTAAACTGAAAAGAACAGATACTACACTTGATCTAAGCCAAAAGGCAAAGAGAGCTGGAGAAGAAAAGAAAAAAATTCTAAAAGACGGGGGGCGCGAGAGCCTTATATAGGATTGGCCAAGTGGCCCGTGCGCAACACACCGGCTAGTGCCGTTGAGATGACCGACAAGCGAGAACTGCCCTCATGACTAAGACACCTCTCATTGGACCAGCCATCCACCCAGTCAGATGATAAACAGCTGCCCTAATCAGCGGTTTGCAAGCCCTATCCACATACCCAAAACGGATTAGTGACACGCACTTGTCCGACTCGAGCATCTCCATCGACCTTCGACAATTTCTCTCCCCAAGGCGCAGGATATACACCTCTTTGCGACCAGCTAATCCCTCTTTCTATCCCCTCCAAAAAACCCCCTCCCATCCGTCACAATGGCCCCCGTTGCTGTACGTTTCCTTCCTTGAAACCGCTTTGCTGTTCTCCCCGAATGGGTCCATGTCCATGAAGATGTATTGTCTGCGTTGAAAATACCAGGCAAAATAAATTCTTCATGGGATGAACCCCGGGGATCCGACATTATGGAACAGTAGGCTAATCATTATTTTTTCTCGGACAATAGGCCCGTGGTCGCAAGGCCCAGAAGGTCACCAAGAAGGTATGTGCTTATCGCAAATCGCAATCGCAGTCGCAAGTAAAAAAAATTTACAGTTACTAATTCCTCTTTTTTTATAGTATGTCATCAACGCTTCTCAGCCCGTGAGCGACAAGATCTTCGACCTCTCTGCTTTCGAGAAGTTCCTCCACGACCGCATCAAGGTCGAGGGCCGTGTCGGCAACCTCGGTGACAAGGTCGTCATCTCCCAGGCTGGTGACGGCAAGGTCGAGGTTGTTGCTCACATCCCCTTCTCTGGCCGCTACCTGAAGTACCTGTATGTTCCTCTCATCTCGAAATAGTACCACCAGTGCGACATGTACTAACCTGCAACTTTCAACAGCACCAAGAAGTACCTCAAGAAGCAGCAGCTCCGTGACTGGCTCCGTGTCGTCTCCACCTCCAAGGGTGTCTACGAGCTCCGCTTCTACAACGTCGTCAACGACGAGGGTGAGGAGGATGAGGAGTAAATTACTCCTTCCGGAATGACAACAACCAAAAAAATCCAAAAATGACCGGATGACAAGTGTGCTCGCGTCAGGGGGTTGCCAATAAATGGGAGCGATATCTGAATTGAGGGTTATCACTTGGATGTCTGGTTTGGGTATAGATGTGTTCTACAAGGAGGGATTCCTATACCGCTGTGGCGATGATCAGTGGTTGGCTCGGAGATGTTTGTTCCTGAAAAGGTGGACGCTCTGCGGCTGCTCTGGCTCGTTATAGCTACCTCTACTCATGACGTTATGACTGGTAGATACACGATTGAATAGAGCAATCTATCACTCGAACCTAAAACTGTTCTGTTGTAAATTACGTAGTTGCTTGTTGTACAATTTTGAGTACGTGTAAACTGGGTATCACTAGAAGTAATTAATGGCGTCGATAGCTGTGCCCTCAATCTCCTAACGCCGAGCTGCTCCGCTTTTGGCCCGCTCCTGATCCAAGCCTTCCATGTGCAGCGGCAGCTTCCGCATCGGCGCCTGGTGGAGGCACAAGCTGGTCGTTATGTATGCGCCAGCCTTTAGACTTGAGAACCTTCCACGTCTCCGCTGCCTTGACCCTCACCAGGTCGCCCGTGGCGATCGAGTCTTCCTTGGAGTCATGGCCGCTACTGCCTCCTGTTTGAATGTCCCGATCTAGATGTCTCCGGCACAGAGTCTTCAGACTCATACGGAGAGGTAAGCCCCGGGGATGTGGGTAGAGAAGCACAGTATCGATAATTGTCGGATGAATGATGCGGCATGCATTGAGGTCATTGTCGATCGCATGACCAATGAGTGGCGTATCTGGTTGAAGACATTCGAATAGAAGCGCCCGGGCTGCAGCAGGTGACTCGACAATCTGCAATGGAGGCGAGTCTGCTTCCCCTTCCTCTAACGGTAAACTCGCTTGAGAGCCAGAGCTGCCATAGGGGATGGCCTTCGTGTAGTGTTCTGGGAAAACACCAGAAAACCTCGAATTCAAGTCCAAGACTTCACCGATGGGTCTAACCAAGACATCCAAGAGTGTCTTGCCTTGAGGCCAGCTAACAGCGGTCAGCCGAATCAGCTCCAATCCCAGGGTTGTGTAACCCATTTCACAGTCGAAGCAGACTGGCGGCAGCCGTCCCTTGCCTGATTGTTCCGGGGTTTTCTGGAATTGGAGTACTGAGGCGAGTCGTTTAGTTTCCGATACCTTGAAGACGTGGGTCTTGCCCTTGGTACAGCCAGCAGAAGTCCCTACTGACTCGTTGCAGCAAGAGAAGTACGCATCTTTGTGCCCCGTAATATGATCGGTCTTCTTTTTGGGCGGATAGAGAGGTTTCCCCGGGTGATATGTGCATTGTCCTCCTGTCGTCAAAGTTCCATCCTCCCGACGGCCAGGGAAGACTTGAAATCTTCCTCCACATCGATCGCACTTTTCCCATCCCTTGGATTCAATAACCCCTTTCCTGGCACCTTCGACTTCAGCGTCTGTCGGAGGCCTAGTAACGTAGCCGTACTGCTCGAGACCCTCCAGACGTGTCACAAGCTTGCCCGCCAATGCTATCTCTTCCTTTGCACTAAGCCCAGTGTCAAGAGGTTTCGGCTTTTGCTGCTCTGGTCCGGGCGCAATCTTGTAATACCGCTCATTGAGATGGGCTTTCACGTCATTGGCCCAGTCTTCCTTACTCATTTTCGATAGCTTTACTATGCGGAGCTTAATGACGTTGGAGTATATGCTTGGGTTTTCTTTTGCGGTCTTTTCTTCTTCATCCAAGGCCATTGTTATAAGCTCATTTGGCGTAAGGACCAGGTATTTGTCCTGGCTCTCTTTGTCTTTGGCCAACTTGTCATTTAGAGCAGACATACCGGCATGCAGCTTTGTGAGGATAGCCAAACGCACGCCATGGGGGGCAGGTGCTTTCGTTAGCATCCGAGGATTTAGGCTTTCTCGTGGTGCTTGCCTTGGCGGGAGAGATTTTCGAGAGCCGGGTGCGCTTGCTTTTGCTGATGAAGACGTTGGCTTTTTCGGAGGCGTGACTTCCCTGGATAAAGACTGGAGCTTGACATTGGCTTGTCCATTGGTCTGGACTGGTTTGTTTGATGAAGTTGTTGACACAGGACCTTGACTGGGAGCTGCTTTGGAAGGCAAAGACGCTGCCTTGTCTTTTAACTTGGCGATTTTCTCTTCACCCGGGGCTTGTACTTTAGCTTTCACGGCTATTTCGCCAGACGTGAGTCCCGCCTCGCCCTGGGCTGCCGTTGGTACATCGGTGCTCTGACGGGCTCCCTGAGGGGCTGATTTGGAGGCGACGTCCTTGTGAGAGAAGATGCAGGTCAAGAGCAAGCAATTTTGCCCTTCAGGACAAGGTATGTCCTTGAATAGACCGAGTGGTGCAAACATTGCGATTGTAGAATAGCAAGAGTTGCTCAGTAACGAAACAGAAGTCAAGTGTAGATGAAGAAAGGAGTATATAGCTGGTATACAAAGATTTCACTCATGCCTTGCGTTGCTTCGCAGCACGTACTAAACATACAGACGAACTGAAAGAAGTGCTTGAAGCTGTGTATTAGCCACAATGTCAGGTACAGATCCGATACGACTCAGAAAACTGATTAGACTGTTTTATATGAGCTTCGAGCACATCTGTTTCATCCAGAGACTATGCTTGCCATGGGCAGTTAACCAGCCACTGCGGTGAGGACAAAAGTTTCTGGGTCCCGCAGTGTCTTTTCGCTGAGCCCAGTTCAGATCTGGGATAAATTTATTGAGCTATTCAGCTAGGAAAAAGCTTTGAAGATTTCGATATGGAACAAGGAGGAAATCCTCCTGGAGCTAAGCCAGGTTCGCGATACGAAGCTGAAGCCGAAGCTGAAGCGGCGGATCGGGATGCGGTCATGCAAACCATGCAAACAAGCACCTGCAGCTGCACGATTGCCTATCAACCTCACCAGTCAATTTAGGAGGGTTAGGCTCTCTGGATACCATCATTACTTGTGCACACAATACTCCGTAATGGAGAAATCTAACAGATGGATAGGTGATGACTTCAGCAGGGCGGGGACCATCCAGAACAGGCATCCATCCGATGACGTTTCCTTATCGTGGCTTAGTAAGGGGCCAATGGTGTACTGGCTGACAGCAGCCAGCAAATACTCAGCCTCCAACCTCAGGAATTGGCCGTGAGTCAGTGGATTGTATAAAAGGATGATAGATGAACTGGCTACAATTACTCGGTATAGCATAGCAGCACGTTGACACTAGCTTCTCGACACCCTATTTCAATCACAGCCAACTATGGAGCTCGATAACGGCCACCCGCCGACTGAGACGTCGCGGAATGCCGACCACCTCTGTGTATTCGTACATGGGTCAGCTCCCAGTCCCCGAACTTCCTGCTGAAACTAGCTGACATATATTCTCATGGTAGACTATGGGGCAATCCTTCCCACCTCGACTACGTCACCTCATCGCTGAGGGAACGATACAGCGAAGACCGTCTCCATATTCTTGCGGCGAAGCGGAACGCCGGCAACTTTACCTACGATGGCATCGAGGTCGGTGGTGAGCGCGTGGCACACGAGGTTGAAGAAGCATTGGAGGAGCTGGCAGCAGCCGGGCATCATATCAAGAAGCTGAGCATGGTGGGATACTCGCTTGGAGGTCTTGTGGCTCGATATGCGCTGGGGCTGTTGTATTCTCGGGGATGGCTCGATAAGATTGAGCCAGTGAACTTCACCACGTTTGCGTCACCGCACGTTGGCGTTCGGAACCCCCAGAAGGGAGCATGGGGCTTCCTCTGGAACAACGTGGGGCCTCACACTATATCTATATCGGGCAAGCAATTGTTCATGATCGACACGTTTCGCGATTCGGGCAAGCCGCTGCTGAGCGTGCTAGCCGACCCGGATAGCATCTTTATCAAAGCCCTGAAGAAGTTCAAGCACCGTACTGTGTATGCGAACGTTGTCAACGACCGGTCGACAATATACTATACCACGGCAATCTCGACGATCAACCCATTCCATGAGCCGGACAATGTCCGCATCAATTACGTGAAGGGCTATGATCCGGTCGTGATCGACTCTGATAGGCATATCCTACCGTCAGACAAGAAACATATAACATCACTCTCACTTGTTCCCCAAGCACAGCAACAACTCATGACATACCTCACAGAAGCCCCCTTCCAGCTTCTCTTCACCACCATCCTCTTCATCGGCTTTCCTATCTTCCTCATCAACTCCGCCATTCAAACCGTCCGCAGCCAACGACGAATCCGTCTTCATGAAGAAGGACCCATGGGAACCGTCTTTGGACGCTACCGAGTCCCGGTTGTCGTCCAAGGCGTGCAGCACGCAGTAGAAGAGGCTTTCGAGCACGCAGCCGCCGACCAGGATCCAGACTACCTGGACGAGAGCAAAGACGAAACGAAACAAGTGGCATCCGCAAGGAGAGCCAGGTCAAGCGAAAGCAAGAGCAATGCGCTCATCCGCGATGACAGCCCTGACAGCGCCTCTGAACCGCTACTCGCCCGCGAACGCCAAGAAACTCAAGAGTTTCCAACACTCGCGTTGACACCGGATCAATTCGACATCATCGAGTCACTGAACTCCGTGGGCTTCCGAAAGCACCCGGTCTACATCCACAATCACCGACACAGCCACGCGGCGATTATCGTCCGTATGCCCAAGCCGGGATTCGACGAGGGCAAGGTAGTGATCAAGCACTGGCTCGACCAAGTTTTCGAGCTTTGACGATTGCCCGGACGATATAGTTAGCTTACACGAACCTCAGCTGCCCATGCAACACCACTTAATAGACTTTCCCCACTCACATCACACCTTCGCCTCACTGTACTCCGTCCTACACTATACAGAAGAAGAGACATACATAGACCCTAAACCAAATACAGCTCCCTAATATCAAAGCACAAGCCATAACCGATCCTACCCGCTCCGCTGCCACACTACTATACATACTACAGACGTAGACTAGTACTCCGTTC